GAGCACAGCGCACCATCACTTTGACTCAGTCACACATGGTGCAGCAGGTCCTTCAGCGCTTCCGCTTCACGTACTCCTCGCCTCAGCCCACTCCTCTGCCTACCGGTCACTCGCTCTCAGCTCTGCCTTCGGACGAGTCCGTAGAGCCGAGTGGCCCGTATCCAGAGCTTGTGGGCTGCCTCATGTACCTGATGACCTGCACTCGTCCTGACCTTGCATACCCTCTTAGCATCCTAGCACGCTATGTCGCTCCTGGCCGTCACCGGAAGGAGCACATGGATGCCGCTAAGAGGGTGTTGCGCTACTTGTGCAGTACGTCGGGCATGGGGCTTGTGCTTGGAGGACGGACTCGAGTTGTCCTCACTGGGCACTCAGACGCTTCTTGGGCTGACGACCAGGCTACGCAGCGGGCGTCTCAGGGTTACACCTTCAGCCATTTCTCTGGTTCAGTTTCTTGGCGTTCTACACGCTCGTCTTCAGTTCTCAGCTCCAGTTATGAGGCTGAGATCTACGCCACAGCCATGGCTGCACAGGAGTTACGCTGGCTCACCTACCTGCTGACCGACCTGGGAGAGCGGCCTCGTTCTCCTCCAGTGCTGTACGTCGACAACAACTGGAGCACAGAACGAAGCACATCACTCTGCGCTACTTCCTTGCTCAAGAGCTGCAGCAGCGTGGTCAGCTTCATCTTGCGTACGTGGCCACTCGGGCCAACACTGCTGATGTGTTCACCAAGGCGCTTCAGCCTTGTGATCATCAGCGTTTCTGTACTGTTCTAGGCCTTGTGCCTACTGTGCCTCACTTGCTTACTTCTTGACTCTGCTTGTACTGTGATCTCTATACATATATACCTGCATGCTTACACTTGCTAGGTTGTGATCACTGTACCTCTTGTTATATTATCAAACTGCATGTGAACTGGTCTTGTGACCGCTTGCTTGTGCTCGGAATTTGTGTGGTTTCCTTGAGATCCACCCTGAGCTTGCTTTGCTTTGCTTTGACTGGTCTTGTGACCATCTGGTTGTCTCCCACTTAGCCTATGGGGGTGTGTCAAACATTATACATGTTCATATTGTGTAGGCTATAGTGGGTTTAGCCTTAGGGGGTACAACATTGCTAGGGTTTCCTACTTGTATCACCCTGCTGCCTAGTTTCATCCATTCTCGTTCACTTCTAGTTTCTAATAGTGATAACACAGAGGGAGGGCACGGGTAGGTGCAGTGAAGGAGTAGCTCTGCCCTCCTATGCTCCTCTATAGGAAGGGAAAGGGTGGTGCGTGATAACAGGAATGAGCGGAGGTGCAGTGAAGGAGCAGCTCTGCCCTACTATGCTCCTCTGTTGGAGGGGAAATGGTGGTGCGTGAAAATAGGGAGGGCGGAGGTGCAATAAAGAAGTTGCTCTGCGTTCCTATGCCCCTCTGTTGGCATGGAAATGGTGGTGCGTGAAAGCATGGAGGGAGGGCTTAGGTGCAGTACTCGAGTAGATCTCCTTTCTCCCTCTGACCTCACCTCCCTTCCCCCTCTCAAAACACCTCCCTTCACCCTCGACAGCTCACCTCTTTTGCGTGAAAGCATGGAGGGAGGGCTTAGCTATATATATATATAGGCGTCGTACCTGTTGAGTCCCCCACGGCGTGATGGACGGAAATGTTGCGAACAGTTTGGACAATGTCGACGTAGGTGAATGCAAAGGATTGTGCCAGCAGAGTATGAGGGCAAGGCGGAATCATGGCGGAAAAAATGCATACCTTTGACTTTAGCAGCTCGTCACCTTTTCACGCTCTTCAGTACTTATCGGGGCTTGTGCTTTGGCTTTAGTAGTAGCGGTTCTTCAGCTACTTACGACGACCACGATGGGCACCAGGCCGGTAGCAGCTTTGGTTGTCCTTCTCCTAGCAATCACTCCTGGTAAGCCCTCCCAAATTGCCCCCTTGCGACTTTTCCTCCCCCTCCGCCCCCTCTCTTCACTACCTCCTCCCACCTCCCTTGTCCGCACCAACCAATCCCCGCTTCGTTCCTCCTTGGTCTCGCGTGCCCGTACAGTTCTCGCTGCACCAGAGGGATCTTCATCGGAAAAATAGGGGGGTCGGAGGGGTAGGTTTGTGTTCAGGTGCTTGAAAGCTGTTTTCAGGAGAGTTACGGCAAAGCTACGTTTCTGTTGCTTTCACGGTGGGTGCCTCGTCAAACTTTTCGAGCGGAACACTGTGGTGGCTGCGTGGCAGCGCCTGGTTGGTTTTCGATTCATACCTACGGAAATCTTGCTAATCGCGAAGTTGTACGTTTTCGTACTCATTTGCTGTTACTCTACTCCCGTTTCGCCCAATCACCTTCCGAAAATGCACTTCGCTTGTTTGGCACCTTGCAGGTTTGGCAACCCGATACTGAAGGAATCTAAAGATTGAGAAAGACGATTGAAAATAACAATAAAGAATGATACTTATATGTATGTCATGTGAAGTAGTTGACATTTTAGCACTGCCTTGGCAATGTATGTAACAATGCATTAATTTATCATGTGATGACTCGACCTTAAAGAATACGGAATCGACAGTATCATTATATAGGCCAAAGTATTGGGTCACCGTATGATCGCAATCAAATACTCAAACATGATATCCGCTAATGGGTCGAGAAGTCTTTAACAGTATGCATAACGGTTGAGAAGCTTCAACGTGGGTCGTGTGAAAGACGTTATGATGTGCTCCGCCCTACTGATCTCAGCAAGATGAGTGATTATGTACGTAGTTGCGCGACGACCTGTACTCTGTTTCAACGAGCACGTCTCGGTGTCCTCCCCACGCTCCTCAAGCATCCTTACAAACGCCAATGGTACTTTGTTGTTAGCACCGTTCTCTCCACGGATCATCACGGGAAATAGCACAAGAATTTGTGCATAGACCACAGCCACTGAAGGTGTAGATTCGTCGGCAGCGAGCGACTTCAGTGAAACGCATGAGAACCAAGCTGCGCCATGGAACTTCGGGGTCGCGCGTGCGTAGTGGCTCTGGTACCCATCTTTCCCTGGTAGAGCCACGGCGGAATGGACCTGCAGTGTAAACAACATGGACATGATATGGCGTTGCTTGAGGGATACAGCTATAGCCGGCTTACATGTCTGACAATGGGCGACTTCACGATCATGACATGCAAAACCCATGCTTACATGAATGGTGCTTGTGTGACAACCTGCAGCCCCAAGTGCAGAGGCGAATAGGTCCATGCACGTGCCGTGGTGGTCAGCGTAGCTCTTTCACAGGTTGTCACCACACCTATTTTCGAGAAAGTGTGGCATTGAAACAGGTGTTGACGTCGTTGTCAGAACAGCATGGCAAACCGCATCCGCCTGCCGAAAATAGGGTGAGGGGAGACAAAATTTATTAGAAGGGTACTTCATATGCTTAATGTTGATTCTCGGCGGTGGGTGTGTGTGGGCTAACATGCGTGTGTGTGTGGGCTGGTGTGAGTGCGCTGGCAAGTGGGAGCGTGTGTGATGGCATGTGGGTTTGAGTGGGCTGGCATGTTGGAGTGTGTGGGATGGCATGTGGGTGCGAGTGGGCTGGCATGTGGGTGCAGGTGGGATGGCGTGTTGGTGTGTGTCGGATGGCATGTGGGTGTGTGTGGGCTGGCATGTGGGTGTGGGTGGGATAGTATGTGGGTGCGAGTGGGCTGACATGTGGTTGTGAGTGGCATGTCACGGGTTTTGAGTGGGCTGGCATGTGGTTGCAGGTGGGATGGCGTTTTGGTGTGTGTCGGATGGCATGTGGGTGTGTGTGGGCTGGCATGTGGGTGTGTGTGGGCTGGCATGTAGGTGCGGGTGGGATAGCATGTGGGTGCGAGTGGGCTGACATGTGGTTGTGAGTGGCATGTCATGGAGGTGTGAGTGGGCTGGCATGTGGGAGCGTGTGGGATGGCATGTGGGTGTGAGTGTGCTGTCATGTGGGTGCATGTGGCATAGGGTGGGGGTGTGAGTGGGCTGGCATGTGGGAGCGTGTGACATGGCATGTGGGTGTGAGTGTGCTGTCATGTGGGTGCATGTGGCATACGGTGGGGGTGTGAATGGGCTGGCATTTGTGGGTTTGTGGCAAGTAATGTGGGTGAGAGTGGGCTGGCATGTGGGTGTACATTGCATATCAGTATGGTGTGAGTGTGCTGGCATGTGTGTGTGTGCGGCATGTAATGTGGGTGTGAGTGTGCTGGCATGGTGGAGGCGTGTGGGATGGCAAGTGGAGTGAGCGGGCTGGTATGCGAGGGTGCTGGCATGTGGTGTGAGTGGCCTGGAGAGAATGGTAAGCACATCATCTCACACCTTCATCAAAGCCGTCAAGCGATGGTTCCGCTCGCCAAGCGCTGTAGGCATATGTAGAATGACCGAACGGACGATTATCATTCGCATGATATCCTCCTCGTAGTCTCGGTAGTTGGATGCCCTGAAGACCAGCTTGCAGGTGGAGGAGTAGGCATGCTCGAAAAGCGCTGTTGAAAATTCAGCCGGTATGCCGCTCCTACGAATCGCATCCGGAAAGTGAACGAGAGCGTGAATCTTCACGAGCCTCCACTCAAATCCGCCACTTGGTAAATTTGTCTTCAGTAGCCGCACTAGCCTGAGCACACGAAACAATTGTGTTAATGCTTTCTTGGACTGAGCGTACTGTAAGGTACACAAGAATGGGACAAACGGTTATGAGGGTTGAAGGGGAATGCTCACTCTGCTGTGTCCGTGAGATATTGTCGCAACATTGTCTCTGTGTACTTTGTTACACAGAAATAAGTGTGGTACCATTTCACGAAGGCCCGCAAAAAGGTCATCTAAACGTTTGGTATTTGTAGCCCTTACAAGATTAGCAACACCACCTGTGCACAATGAGGGTTTAGGAGCATCCACATTGTGCAGAGGAAATCACTAAGCCATTTTTACGTCTTCTACCTGTCTATAAATTACTGGATCCAGCTACGAATTGACTCACTCGGCAGAAGGTAGAAACTCACACTAATCATGCTTGCATGCTCTGCATCCGAGTAGTTTGCCCCAGGCTTGATATAACAGCCATCGCCAGTGGCCGGCGCACACTTCGCCTCGCTCCTCGCTGGCAGCAAGGCGGTATTGGCGGGCAGCAAGGCGGTTTTGGCGGGCAGCAAGTCGGTTTTGGCGATTTAGGCGGGCAGCAAGGCTGTTTTGGCGGGCAGCAAGGCGGTTTTGACGGGCAGCAAGGCGGATTCGGCGGATCTGACAGACCAGGCGGACCCAGCGGACAGGGCGGACAGGGCGGACAGGGCGGAGGAGGTCCGCCCATGGAGCCTCCGCCTAAGTTCGGGCCGCTAAACGTGAACGAAAAGGTTGTGGGCTACCTGGCCGGTGTGTGCTTGTCGCGTCGCGGCCGCGCCCTTGGGTCTGGGGACGAGACTTGCGCTCGTGCGGGGCTCGGGGCAACGGGGGGGAGTGGGGGAACGGGGGGAACGGGGGGAACGGGGGGGAATGGGGGAACGGGGGGAAATGGGGGAAGGGAAGCTGGGAGGTTGGCTGTGGTGTGGTGTTGAACTCATCTGGTGATGTGCCGCTTCTGCACTCATGTGTCACTGGTTATCGCTTCTTCTTGTCTTCTCACCTCCCCCTATTCTTCCCACCTCTCTCTCGTGCCATCTGGCCGTGAGGAGCTTAAGTACAACCACTCTCTCTTATCTCTCCCTCTCGCTGCGCCACCCTCCCTGCTCTTTCTCTGCACTTCATCACGCACCAGCCGCTGGTGCCGCTCGTCTCGCCTCTTGCTCCTCCACAGTCCCCACAAAGAATCCGAATTTCCAATTCGGCATCTTCAAGTGAGTGCGCAGCGCGCACCTGGCTTGGCAGCAGATGCGCTCAGATTTGTTGCCAGTCGGTTTAGCGATCCTTGAGCGCATGCTGCCTCTGCTCAAATGTGACCCTCGCCTTGCTCTCTGTCCGCCACATGCGTGGCCGTGTGTGTGCTGTGCGTCATGAACGACAGTGGCAACTTCAACCGTGTGTTCCGGATCTTGCTGGCGGGCGCTACTAGAGGCCCGCCCGATTCTCTTGCAATAGTGCAGGGTGCTGCGTGCGACGCTGCAGCCACTTCTGTCCTCTCCCTCCCGGTCGCCACTACCGGTTGGCTCATCAGCTCCGAATGGTGGGTGCTGCACTCTGAAATGCGCCTCGACAGATTTCTGGAGAACGCGAATCCCGCAGCAGTGGCGACCCTGATGGCCGCGATTCCAAGCATTCCGGATACTGGAGTTACTTCTGCTGGTGCTGCTGCTGGTGGTGCTGCTTCTGGTGGTGCTGCTGCTGGTGGTGCTGCTGCTGCCGGGGGTGGTGGTGGTGCTGCTGGTGTTGCTGCTGCTGGCGATGGTGGTGGTGCTTCTGCTGGCGATGGTGGTGGTGCTGCTGGGGATGGTGGTGCTGCTGGGGATGGTGCTGCTGCGATGGTACTGCTGGCGATGGTGCTGCTGGCGATGGTACTGCTGGTGATGGTGCTGCTGACCGGCGGATGAGCATGGAGAGTGCTGTTAAGCGGAGAGTGCTGTTTGACCTGTCCAAGGCTATTGGGAAGGCTGTGGGGGCGAGGAAGTATACGAGGAACAATGGTGCTAAGGGCTCTGGCAACACGGGAGAGCTGCTGACTGTGACGGGGTACGCTGTGCTGGCTGAGAGCTCGTCCTTTGGTGCCACGTGGGGTGCCGAGCTCAAGGGTGTGCTCGTGCCAGAGGATTCCCTGCCCGCACCCCCTTGATGAATTAGGAGGGCGGGGGGATCTTTAATCGTATTTCTGACTTATGCAGGGCATGTGTTGAATGAGTGTGGCTGCAGGCTGTATGTATCACAAGTACGCAGACATTTGCATGCCAAAGGCAAATCTTCTTGTCCTGATTCAATATATCATCACATGTTAAATGTAGGGGGGGTCCATTACACAGGGGCTGGTACACCGTATACTGTTATAATTTCATTTATGGGAATACACATCCATACCCATGCTTGTCAACATACCTAACACCCCTAGGACTGGTATCCCACTGAACGTTATCCTTTGGAATGTTAATGGAAACAGCCTTGTACACTCCTGGGTTTCTACTGTTGCTTTCAGAGTATGGCCAATGACCTGTTGCCTAACAACACTTGACTCAATTGGCATCCACTGGAGTGCCTGGACTCTGGAACCCAAGTCAACAATATGTTGCACGTCCCAAGTCATTACTTCAGGGTAGAGAGAAGCATGAAACAAGGACGATGTGTTCGATACAGCGTGCCAATGCTTGTTTCACTGGATTGACTCGCACGCTGACCGGAAGTCCTCTAGGCACTTGGTGAGAGACTCCATCCTCTGCCGCGCTGTGCCTCGCTCGGCTTGCATCTTCTTGACTGCAGCAGGTGCAGTGAACATGGCCATGACGTCAGCATCACACCGCGCAAAGAGCGCCTCCAGCAGCGATGATGCCACCCCTTCACGGCTGCTCGGTGAGAGAGAATGCAGTGGGTGGGGAAGGAATGTGTGAAGAGATATGCCTACGGAGCACAATGTACAAGGAGATGTGGAGCGGCAAGGGAAGAAAGCGAGTGAGGCAGGGAAGGGGTGAGTGACAGAGAAGGAGAAAGGAAGAGGCGGTGGGAAGGAAGGAAGCGGAGAGGGAGAGGGAGAGAAAGGAGGGAGGGAGGGAGAGAGGGAGGGAGGGAGGGAGGGAGGGAGGGAGGGAGGGAGGGAGGGAGGGAGGGAGGGAGGGAGGGAGGGAGGGAGGGAGGGAGGGAGGGAGGGAGAGAGGGAGGGAGGGAGGGAGGGAGGGAGGGAGGGAGGGAGGGAGGGAGGGAGGGAGGGAGGGAGTGAGGGAGGGAGGGAGGGAGGGAGGGAGGGAGGGAGGGATGGAGGGAGGGAGGGAGGGAGGGAGGGAGGGTGGGAGGGAGGGAGGGAGGGAGGGAGGGAGGGAGGGAGGGAGGGAGGGAGGGAGGGAGGGAGGGAGGGAGGGAGGGAGGGAGGGAGGGAGGGAGGGAGGGAGGGGGGAAGAGCGAGGGAGGAGGGGAGGGCGGATGGAAGGGAGGAGAATGGAGGGAGGAAGCAAGTAAAGGTGATACCAAGAAAGAATGGTAAGGGGGAAATGGCAACAAGGAGGAAAAGAGGTGGTGTGTTTGGGGATGATGTGACGAGAAAGAGAGACGTGCTTATCAGGTTAAAGACCCTTACAAAGGCGTTTCAAAGGCTGAGAGGATGGCAAAGGGCGCATGTGACGCAAGGCTCATCTTCATGCCTTGGAACTCCACCTCCACCATCTCCTTCACCCGACTGTACCCTGACTTGCTCCTCGCACCCCCCTCCACTGCCAGTCCTTCTCTGCCTTGCGCAATCTCCTTCCCACCACCCCGTCTGCCGGCCTCCTGTCGCTTCTTACACCCCCCCCCAGCGTGTGGGTCATTCAGCATGCCACTCACGCCACGCTTGCTGCCTCTGCCATTCCCCAAGTCACAGTCACTCTTCATTGTCGGCTCTTCTCCGCGCTCATTCCTGCTCCCTACCCCCTCGCCACACCCCCCAGCTCCAACCACTGCCTCGTCCCTTCCTGCACGTCCGTTCCCCGTCCCGTCCCTCCCTGCTTCCCTGCCTGCTTCCCTCGCACCGCCACCTGCCTGCCTTGCACCCTGCCCTGTCAAAGCCCCTCCTGACCCATCCAGGCCACTACCAGCCAGAATCAGCCGACCACTGATCTCTGCATACTCTTTCCACTTGGCCGCGGTTGCTTGCTCCCTGGCATGCAGGTCAGGCGAGGGCGTCTCAGGCACAGTCATGTGACACTCCCGCAGTGCCTGTGCATCTGCACCCCCACCACCTGCAGCGCACACGGGAGCAGCACCACCTTTAACTGGCGTTGAGTATGACTCGCCCCTCGCATTGGCCATGTTGTCAGCAGCAGAACGAGCGGGATAGAGGGGAATCCGCCCATGTCGAGGCATGCCCCCCCTCTCAGTCCTCCCAGCATTCTCATCTGCACCTGCTACTACTGCTGCTGCGGTTGCTGCTGCCTTTGCAACTCCGCCCTCCTTCCCTGCACGTGTGGCAGCGTAGGGCAGGGGCGTATGGCTCTGCAGGTCCAGGGGGAGGTGCAGGCCCAACGGGGCAGAAGGTAGCATGGGTGCGCCCTGCATGACGGAGAGTGGGAACGAGTGAAATAGGTGGGAGCATGAGAATGGACATGAATAGCATTCTTCTCTAAATCCAGCATTTGAAGTAACAGCTCACGTCACACGGGACTCCTGCTCATGCCAGTGTGCATGCACTCGATATCTCTCATTTCATTCACCACACCCCCTCACCACACTCACATGCGGCATGGCAGCAGCAGCAGAGGGCGGCAGCAGGTGGCAGGCAGCGGAGCGCACGTGGTGCTGGGCGAGGTGGCGACAGCGCGAGGAGAGCGAGGTGAGGAAGGCGTCATAGGCAGAGCGCAGGGCCGCATGGAACCCAAGGAATGGCTCCAGTGCCACACACGGCGGTACCACTGCTGTGCCTGATGGCGAGGCCGAGTGGTGGGCTTGCTGCTGGGCAGCGGGCGACTGGAAGTAGCCCGTGTGGTGACCTGGCTTCGCCTGGCTCTCTGAAGCGATGCAGTGGGGAGGGAAAGGGGGAATGTAGTGAGTGTACGCGACGTGGAAGGTTTCTAAGGGGCATGAAGAGCAGCAGCGGCAGAAGCGATGGCAAGTCATTGCCAGTCCTGTAGCGGCAGGAGGCGCTGCATGGGGCAGAAAATACTGTGGTACACAGCACCCTGCAGCATGCTCTGCACTGTGGCACAAAACTCTCCCACATTCGCCGACTTCTTCTCCACCCACTCTCCCGCCATCCCCCCCATGCAACTCAGCATGCAGCCAGGTGGCCAGCCCCATTCGCACCAGACTTGATGCGCTGCAGGGCGACGTCGAGCAGGCGGCGCAGCAGGAAGGCGATGCGCGCACACAGGGCGTCCATGAGCGGGGCAAAGCGCGCCAGCACCGCCGCCCTCGCCACCTCCGTTGCCGTAGCTGCCACTGCTGCTGATGACACGCCGCTGGCGCCACTTGACCCAAACGCGGCCTGCTTCGCCAGGAGGGCGTTTGCGACCTGTGTGCGTGGCAGGGAGGTGGCGAGTGAGGGCAGGCACACAAGAAGAGGCCATGTGATGACGACAATGGTTGCCAGAAGATGGACCTCAATGGCTGAAGGTGCCACAGAGGAGATGCAAGCAAGAGAGGAATACATGCGCATCTACACGCACCTTCTCTCGGGACGTGTTGGGGCAGGGGACGGCCCAAGCAGCAATGCTGAACTCGTGCACGACACGCATGAGCGCCGCCCCTCCATACAGCCTCAACCCCTCGTTCACCACCCCGCCCCTGCTGCCCCCACTCCCACCCGCCCCACTCCCATCGCCACCCTCCTCGCCCTCCTCCTCTTCCTCCTCCTCCCCGTCCTCGCCATCCTCCCCCTTGCAGCGCCTGAGGGCGCGTGCAGCGTGCAGGAAGGCGTGGGGCGGCACGCCAGGCCAGTGGCCCACGGTGCTGGCGGCCTGCTCCTCATGCGTGGAGAGGCCCCACTGGGACGGATCCGGCTCCACTGCCCCGTCCAGTAGAGATAGCTGGGGAGTGCGGCGAGGTGGAAGGGAGAGGTCAGCACAATGGGGGAACGCGGGAGAGCACAGGGTGAGGCCTCTTCTGCATGCGGTGCAAAATGCGTGCTCTTTATTTTCTTTGCGGCACTTTGGTTCACTGGACCTTACACACAAGCATTTCTCCTCAGTATCACGCCATGAGCCTGTATCGCAAGCGCCATCATGAATCGCATGCGTCCATATTGATCCATGCGCCTATCACCGCACTCATACACCTCACTCCCCACCACCCACCCCTTCCCCCCCCTCCCCCCCTTCTCACCATGGCGCTAGTGGTGGCCACCACGTGGCGCATGGCCAGCCTCCTCATGGACGCCACGTCACTCGCCGCACTCAGCCGCTGCTCCACACACGCCACCTGCTCTGCCACGTCAGCACACCTCCGCTCCAGCTGTGCCAGCACGGCAGGCGCCGCCGCACTGTACCTGGTGATGGGAGCAGGGAGGGTGGCGAAGGGAAAGCAGCAAGGAAAAATTATAAGGATAGACACTTCGAGACCAGAAGAGGCGTGGATATATCGACCTGCACACACTGCCTACCAGCCGTGCTGCAGGCTGCGAGGCAAGAGAGAGTGCACGTACCTGCGCTGCAGCTCGTCCTCCAGGAACGCCTTGAGCTTCGCGAACCCTATCAGCGCGCCGTACTTGCGCTCATCAAACCCGCCCGCCACCTCGGTGCGCAGGAAGTGCAGCACTGCCGCGTCCACCTCCGCTATCTGCCGCCGCAGCTGCGCACTCTCCTGCACTCCCTCGCTCGCACCACCGTCCCTCCCCGTGCTGCCACTGCTGCCAGCGCCCGCAGCACTCTTCCCCTTGTCCCTGTCCTTGGTGTCTTTGGGCAGTGCAATGAAGAAGGGGCCTCGCAGGGGCGTTAGGGGGGCGCCGCCAGCGCTGCCAGGGCTCACAAACCCCTGAGATGGAGGGGCCGGCCTGGGAGATACGAATGGCGAGGGGGCAGCGGCAGCAGCAGCAGCAGTGGTAGTGGCAGGGGACGGCGAGGTGGCGGAGTGGAAGTACCCTCCTGTGCTGAGGTAGCGGTCCACCTCCCACCTCTCTGAGAACTCCTGCTCGCATATAAGGGGGGTGATGGGCGGCGGACAAGGAAAAACAACGAAGGTCTTTTACCAGGGACGCTCCTCAAGCAGTTAACAAAGATGCACGGACGCAATGCAGAGTGGAACGCAGTCCCAGAGTGGAAGCTTCAAACCCTGCTGGAACGCCAGTTGAAACCAAAAGCACGCCCCTAGCCCTGCCTCACCTTGAGGCGGTTATCGAACTTGGAGGCCACAACGACAGTGCGGCGCAGCTGGGGGTCAGCTCGGCGCACAACGTCAAGCCAGAGCGAGGAGCACCACTCCACGCTGCTCTGCTGCAGGAACACTATCAGGCGGTGTGGCGGCGCCATCAGCTCCACCACCATCGCCTCTATGTCCGCTGGGGTGCTCTCCGGCTCGCCTCGCCGCGCCTGACACACGGGAGGAGAGTCGTGGGATGGGAAGAAGGGTGTATTCGCCACAAGCACGCTGATCCATCACTTCGACCCCTCACGTCGCTTCTACTCAACAGCCTCTCATTCCTCTTCCCACTAGCCAACATGCATATCCTCCACTATTCACCATCCGCCATCCAACCCCAAACCCCACCCCCTCCCCCCCGTCCCCCCTGTGCCCACCTTGAGGATGAACCCGGGTGTGTCGATGAGCGTGAGCGACGCGCAGAAGGCATACTCCACGCGCATCACGATCGGCTTCGAGCTCACTATGGGGCCTCTCCCGCGCGCCGCCTCGCCGCCGCCGCTCGCGCCAGCGGAGCCCGCCGTCGTCGCTCCGCTGCTGGGCTGGCGCAGCGCGAGCAGATGGTCGTGCGTTCGCTGCTTGAGCGCCGCCGCCACCGCGGACAGCGGGTGCAGCACGGGGCCGTACGCGTCGGAGTGCTCGTCCTGGGAGGGGAAGAGGCAGAGACGGCACGCATGACGTTCAGGGCCGTAGATTTGCTGCCACTAGCGGAAGATACTCTAAATCGTGACTAGGATCCGCGTTCACACGGGAGAATGGGCATGGTAGTGAGGCGAGCGCAGGGAGGGAGTCTGGGAGGATGCTGTTTGTGAGGGTGCGGGTAGCGAACCTGCAGGCGGCAAAGCGGTTGCAGGGCGTCGGGGCGATGCATCATCTGCAGGATGAGGGGACGCCGGGTACCCATCTCCACCTCGCGGATGTTGAACCGGAAACCTGCCGCCACACGCGCGCACACGACAAAGGTCAGCGGACTCAAAAGCACGAGCGCCGGCTGCAACTTTTCTGTCGACGCTATCACGCATCTGTACGAATTCTGCGTGTGACTCGCTGCTGATTGCTCCTAATCTCTCTTTTTCCTCTCCCGACTTCTGCCGACACCTCCGCACCTCCCGTCGTGTCAATTCGTCTCTCCAGCGCGTCTACCATCCTATATCGCCATCTGTCGCATCTGTCGCCATCTGTCGCATCTGTCGCCATCTGTCGCATCTGTCGCCATCTGTCGCATCTGTCGCCATCTGTCGCCATCTGTCGTCACCTGTCACCATCTGTCGCCTATCTCAACCTGCTCACCCAGCAAGGCTTCGAGGAGCGAGCTCTTGCCGTCCGATTGCCCACCCACCACCACGATCTCCGGTAAGGGTAGTTGCTCGCCGAAAGCCACTGCGCACGACTGCAGACGACTGGACAACAGAAAAAACAAAACGAACAATGGCATTACAAATCGTCGAACGCTCGGGGTAAGACATTTCAGTTGCCATGACATCAAGCCAGATTCGAAGTGCACGCATGGACTTATCGAAGGCTCAAAACCCGGATCAAAGACACGACAGATCCCACGATACGCTTAATCAGCGTTGCAAGAAACATGGACGCATTAGCGGCTTAGCATGGACACAATGTGACTCGTTGCTAGCGTCATGCACTAAGCGATTCTCCATCCTAAGACTTCCATTGCGTCAGCGGCGATACCTGTACGCCTCGAATCGTGCTCTGCGCTGAGGATCGTTGTACATGGCCGCTTCCATGCGCCCAGCGGAGTCTTCAGCAAGCGAGGAGGATGGACGGAGGAGCTGAGAGGCCATGGCTTATAAGACTACTGGTGCTGGCGATCCAATATACAAATCAACGGTCGCACCTTAGAACGACTGATTCGAATTCTCGATCAATACATGTTTACGTACACAAATACAGCTATGGAATCGGCAGTCGAGCAAGCGGCGGCAACCCTGCAATGTGATGGTGGAGTGGATTGAGCAAACGACTCGAGGAATCAGATTGTTGGAGGAATGAAAACCATTCTCAAGAAGTCAGTGTCAGGCTTTCTCGCTGAGTAGTTTGGTTGGTTGGGACTAGCTTCAATGCAGCACAACAGATCGGGGGAGGGGTGAGTGATGGTGGTGGTGTCTGCGTGACGCTTTCAATCAAGCAAACGTATTCTCCGCCGTGCGATCATAGCCCTGACAAACTCTGTTCAAGTTTCTGACAAGATCCTCGATTCCCGCCAAGACTGGCTTGGGCAACAGGGCTGTCGATTGGTCCGAGTTTGAAAATAATTGATATGATTACAGAAGAGTATAAATGTTCAATATAATGGCTTTATATACGTGTAGTCATAAAAACTATGAAATTTATCACAGCGCATTACTAGTCTATCACGAATCGTCACTTGTTCCGCCAAATCTATTACGGCTCGTCACTCGGGTATCACCCCTCGTCACTTGTTATTAGTAAATTCTATCACGCATAGTCACACTCGATACTTGCCTATCAAAGATGAATTCTGTCATCATTTCACTCACCCGCCTTGACACACTGTAAATATCACGGGATTGTATTTTGGGATGTTTGATTTTGTCCTATACGCACGCGCAACCTTTTGGGTGCGAAGATATCGGGTTACGCCCGATGGATGTAACAAGCAAAAAAATCAATTAGAACTGCAATAGTGTGCGCATGTACAATGACAAGTTCGCCGCTATGGATTCTGTCAGGCACTTCGGGGAGACCAATGTCCTACAATTTCTTATCAGTTGTTCATTCAAGAGCAGTTATGGAATCTACGTGGCAATGTGCTTATGGGAGTATATTTCTTGTGCCTATCCATCGGGCATTGTACTACCTAGGTCTTGTCAGGCACTTCCAAAGTTATGGACACACAATCGATTCCCAAGGTCAAGCTCGACAGCGCAACAAATGTCCTTCCCTAGCAACAAGATCGCAAATATTACCAAGGGACATTGCACGAGCGGCCAACGGGCCCTGGCGGGGAGAACCGCGGAGAAGGGTCACCAGTCGGAACCGGCTACCCCTAAGCGGCTTCTCAAGGAGGTGGTGGGCCCACTCGCATGCGACAACCGCATCTCGTTGGCGAAAAGGTTGTCCACGAGTCTGGAGGAAGGGGTCTCTGGAGATTGGCACGCGGGAGAAAAAAGAGAATGGAAAGCATGAGGAGACACCGGCGACCGAGGACCACGTGGACCCTGTCGGTGGGGAGGAAGAGGAAGACGACGACGGTTATCTCAGCAATGACCCGGAGGAGAGGCTGGACCCAGTGAAGTCGGGCGAGGTCGCAGCGCAGGCCAATTTCTCAATCACCCTTCTCGTCTTGCACGTTAAGGTTCACGAAGTCACGCGGACCATCGGCATGGTCAAGCGGCTTCTTGCACTGTGGAGGAAGTCGTTGTCGGCTCATTGCCTGGGTTCAACAAAGTTCCAGATCCTCCAATTGGCTTACTTGCCGAAGGCTCGGTACGGGAGGCTTCAGGTTACCTTCCTGCACACCGCAGATGCCAACTTCGTCTGGTGTCACCGGATCGAGCACGTCGGCCTCGACGAGAAGAAGATGTCCTAGACTGGCAACACCCGGAAACCCCAATCTACACGAAGGAGCGCACAACGCACCCGGGGGCTATCGAGGTGTTGCTGAAGCGAGTCCCGGCGGCGATCTCACTAGAAATGGTGTACAAGCTCCTGGTGACCAAACCCCTTGAGAAGCGTGGTCGTTCTGCGTTCCTCAGCGGGGCGGCTTTCCACAGAGTGGTGGATCCTGTGACTGGGACGGATACGGACAAGATCAGGGGCCGGGTTAAGGGGCACCGGGGGGATAAATATCGTTGGTGGCATCTGCTGGTCGATTCTGTGCATCATAAGAGGCTCCTTGTGCATTAACCATTGCTTTCCTGTGATTTATGCAACGGCATGCATATGACAAAGTTTCATGACGATTACGTTACCGAACGGCAAGAGAACACCGGCAAGTGGAACCTCGATCTGCAGCCTATCCACGAGATCAATGGTAACCAGTTGTGCTCTAACCTTTCTATTCAGGCTGTCAAGGTCCTGGTCCGGTACCGTGACGGCCGTCTCGTGCCTTACCTGAGCAGCGGCATCCCATGCGGTCAACACGGGTGTGAAGACCATCTTGTGGAGACCCGGCGGTAGTGTTGATATCCACTGGTGGATTTTGGGAGGACTGAATCTGCGTCCAGGAGGCTTGCGAGAAGGCACACGACTCCAGCTTCACTCAGGCGGTGTTGCATGTGCAATCAGCCCGGCAGTGCACGGGGCTCCTGAAAGCGGGGGGGAGGGCAGTCGTGCAAGGAATTCGGTATGTAGCGGTAGCAAGGAGAGGCCATCTGCCACCTGATGCATGGCCATCGATACCTGCAGGAATCGGGATTGTAGTCAGAGAGGTTGTTAGCAGTTGTAGGCGGAGCAAGGTTGTATTGGAGTACATATGTGTAACCAAACCCTTGGATGCAAAGGGGCTCTCATTCAGTGGTTAAATGGATAACAACAAAAACAACGTCACCCTGTGCGAGGTCAATGTGAACGGCCTCGGAAGCAACGGCAAGAGAAGCAAACACAGGAAATGGATTAAGAAAGCGGCAGATGTGGTTGTTCTTACAAATATACGGATAGGAGAGGACCATAACTTTTGGCCCCGAGCTAGAGGGTACCAGTGTTGTCTTTTGTAAAGGGGGTGAAGCTCGCCGATGTCATCCGGCACCATTCTGGCAGGTTCCTCGGGGTCACGATCACCAGCGTACATGTGGAGTTCCGGCTGACTGCCTGCGCAGGCGTGCAGCACAGCTACCTTCTTCGCCGACTGCCTTGCCCAATTCGTCCGCGAGCAACCACCATTGGCGCACCTGGTGGTCATGGGCGACATGAACCTGGTAAAAGACCCGGACCTAGACAGGACGTCCCAGGCTGGCACGGGGCAAGAAAACCAGAGGCCTTTAAGTTTCTGGCAATCGTTCGATCTCCATGACGCCTTCCGAACGCTCCATCCAACGCAGAGGGAGTACACGTACTTCCTCCAGATCGACGCTGACCAGCTCATGCATCGATCGAGGGCTCATGTCCATGTCGCTGATTGGGCTGCTGTTGGAGGCGCGACATACCGCGGTGCTAAAGGGCCTCTCGAATCATTGGTTCGCCATCCGCATCGGTTCCTCGATGTCTTCTTCGTTGGAGAGAGGACCCAGGATGTGTATGCTGCAGGCGGGACAAGGGGGGAGAAAAGGAGTCAGGACGGTGACGGCGGAAGTACTGAGAAAGCAGGAAACAGAACCAGGATGCGATTTCGATAAAACGTTGCAGCTCATCAATACGGGCCTAAGGACACTGGAGGCCACCTACTGCCTACTGTAGGCCTCAACAACGGATGAGGTAGGTGGCCGAAGTATACAACGGGGCACAGTAGGTGCAGGAGGCTGCGGCGGATCATTTTGCGGAGGCGTTCAGGGAGGTGGCACTGGAAGAAACAACGGACTGGGACATGTTCGCAGCAAAGCCGCGTTTCTCGGAGGCAGAGGCCATGCAGCTCGGATCGGATTGATCGGAAGCAGAGGTCAAGGAGGCCATCACGGGGCTTCCGAAATGCAAGTCCCCTGGACAGGACGGGCTGCGGATTGAGTTCTTTGCGCTGCACTAGGACCTGCTCGGAGGAAGGGTGATGGATTTCAGAAGGGGCTTCAAGCGGATGGCGCAACTACTGGAAAGTTTGTCTATAGCGGTTACAATCCTACTGCACAAAAAAGGCGTGATGAGGCAACTCGGTAAATACAGACCCATCATGCTGCTCAACGCGGTGTACAAAATTATTGCGATTTTGATGGCGACAAGGCTCAAGAAGGTGTTGGGGTCGGTGTTGTCGAAGGAGCAGCACGTGTTCTTACCAGGAAGAAGCCTGGCGGACGTGGTGTTGGCGGTGGTGGACGTAGTGGAAGCAGCATGCAACGGTGAAGAGGATTGGCTGCTGCTGATGGTAGACTTCTAGAAGGCGTATGACACGGTCTCGAGGGAGTACCTGATTTGCACGCTAGACGAGCTATGGGTGTCAGGAAACTTTCTCAGCTGGACAAAAGGCCTGCACGAGGAAGCAGGAAAAATTGTGGCAATGAACGGATGGCAGAGCGATAAGGTGGACATGCGAAGAGGAGTCAGGCAGGGGTGTCTGCTGGGGCCGTACCCGTTCCTTTGCGCTCTGGAGCCGCCGTGCAGGGAAACCCACCGCATGAGGGTGGGGGTCGGCGCGGAAGGGCAGGAGCTGCTTGCATACATCGGATACGCAGACGACACATTGATCAATCCTTAACAAGAGACGCAGTTGCCAGAGTAGGAAGCAATGCTAGAGACTTTCGGCAAGCAGTCCGGCCTAAAGACCAACTGCGAAAAGTCGGTGGCGATGCCGCTCGGGAAGAACAGGGGGGAACCGCCCCCGGCAGGCCTCAGCTTCAAATGGGCGACGCAAGGAGAGCAAGAACGTCTCCTCGGGGTGTGGATCACTCCCAACGACGATGCGGGCCAGTCCTGGGAAAAGGCATACGAGAGGGGGGAGCATGAGTTAAGTAAATGGGAGGCGCATCACCTAACTACGCCAGCAAGGGTGGCGATAGTGAACTGCTATGTGCTGCCTATCTTCATGTTCCAGGCGCATGTCTACTCGTCGCCGGAAGAAATTCGGGGAAAGCTGCGTAAGCTGTGCTTCAAATATGTATATGGGGGAGTTGCATCAGAGGAAAGAAGTTCGTGTTATGGAGCGCATACCTGGCGCCTCTATCCAAAAAGGACGGGGGTCTCGGGCTGATGGAGCCGAATGCCCGACTCGACTGCCTGGCGGTTCGAACGTTAGGGAGACTGGTGTTGGAGCCAGACGGGGTGAGGCGGTGGTTGGCCTAAACCATGATCTGCACATCCTTGGTGCGTAGACCATGGTGCAATAATGGCGCCATTGTTAGGACTTAGTCCTAGCCCCAAAACATGGCACCATATGTGGCGCCTGATTTGTGGCGCAGCTCCGGCGCCAAGGTCAGGGCGCAGCTCTGGCGCCAAGGTCAGGGCGCAGTTCTGGCGCCAAGGACAGTGCGCTGCTCTGGCGCCAAAGTTGCCACAGCAACGCCATAGTATTGGCGCAGCTTTGGGCGACATCTGGCGCCATGCGTGGCACCAGATCGCCCTGTATGCGTCTTGAGATATGATGCATGATAGAGGCGCCAGATCGCCAGCCGGATTATGGGTTCTTTAGATCGTTCGCATTTGAGGCTCCCTTGAGGTCGATTCTTTAGAGTCTCGTGTTGTAACATTGTCGTGCAGAAGCGTTCACACTAATTCACCGTATTTTGCCAGCGAATGCCCCAGATGTTACGTACTTTTGACAGATTGGATGTCTCTGCATCTCTGATCCTGATCATGTGCATTCTATCTGCGCATGCCCTAAATGAACCGCTTTTGCTAATTTTACATGTACTTTTGGTTTTGCTACCTTTTCATTCAACCCATTGACATGCATGGTCCAGTTCACAAGTGGCACTAGGTTTTTTTTTTTTTTTTTTTGGCACAATGACCCTCGTAATTATTGCTTGCAGATTCTTTTGTTAATTTAATTATTTATTGCCATTCATGAAGAATTGGTTGCACAAAAGAACCATTTGTATGGACGTAAGACATGAGTGCTTCTGCGTACAACTCGCATGACACGTGCTCTAGTGTACCTACTAATGGCCATTCGTGTCCATCTTTCCTTCGCTCTGTCCTCAAGAGCATTTTCCTCGCCAAACGAATCGAATGTCAACATAACAGTGGTAAGGTCTACTCTTCAGCGGACAGCGCAAGGGATGAGGTGCGCCGCTATGGCCGGCACCATATGTTTGAACCTTATTTCCCTAGAAACAATGCCAGTCGCGTCGAGGCATGGTGCAAGTCCATGGCTGGGAAAAATGGCCAGCCAATGAGAGTAAGATTGCATTCCTGGCCCGGACACCATCCGAAGTTTGGACACCTTGAGTGGTTTTTAAATGCTCTACCCCCCTATTTTAACCTGACCTACACACCATGCCACGATTTTTTGCAATGCTGAGAAATAACATACAAATTTCTCTACGATGTAAATACACTGCACGCCATATGTGTCAGTGAGTTGAGTGAGCACAGTTGCTTGAGTTCACCCAGCAATTGCTTCGAGACTCGCTTGCTTCTGCCTACGGCTGGGTTCAAGAAACTAAGCCATTCAAACTAAGAAATAACTTTGTCTTTACACCTTCAATAATAATTAAAAAAAAAACAGCTCAAGATGTCCAAACTTTGGTCATACTGACAACTGTACTGTTGGTCGTGGTCATGTGCGGAGAGACGAGGTAAAGGAAATAGCACGAGACATCATGAGCCATAGTGAGGTGAAAACTAGGGGGTTGACAAAGAGGGTTTCTGAAGTGCTTGGCGTGTCATGCTCGTACGCTCAAGCTCATGAACTTATTGCAGAGGTGAGACGGAAGAAATCATTTGGGGGGGAAGAATGTTTTCAGTACATGGGAGACCTTTTGAGGAATTTCAAAGTGAAGAACCCCTCAAGCGTGGTTTCCATGGAGAAAAAAGGTTCTCGTTTTTTTCCGAGCAGGAGCCAGGTTCAAAGGATTTGTTAACAAACTGTCTGCCAATCGAATTCGCCGATGGTTGTCATGACAAAACCAAATGGGCATGCCATACCCTAAACCCTAAATCTTGTGTCTCCTTGACAGCTAACACACGTTGGTGAGACTTGGCTGTGCTTGGGTGGAGGGAGAAAACAAGGAGTCATGCAGTTACATCTTCAAGCTACTTTTGGAAGCTATTCCAGAAGTGAACTCCTCCACTTACGTCATGATGCATGACCATTGTGCTGCTTGGAAGGCAGTGACCGCGAGATGCCTGCCAATTGTACGAGAATCATACTGCATCACTTATTTAGTGCGGAATTTCAAAAGCAAAGTCGAATTCGACCTTGGCTGCACCCGTAGCACTAACAACGGTTGTACGTGCTGAACATATGGTCAAGATCGATGAAGAATGTCCTGGGGGGGTGGCGTATCTCGTGGAGCAATCCCTCTCCATTAAGTGGGCAACAACCCAGTTTGGTGCACCCCGCTACGGCTGCTACTCCTCAAACCCAGTTGAGTCGCATCACGCGTCACTCATTGGATTGTGAGAGAAGAACGCACCACATGTGCTATTCAGGCAATATCAGAGGATTGCCTCAATATTGGAAAGAGGCGCAAGGAGTACTCGGTTTTGCTGATTGCAACCTACGCACCAAGACAGTGCAGATTGTCAAAGCAAATAAAGACCGTAGCCGATCTTATGAGGTGTCATGCACAGCAGAGAACGAGTACATGGTTGTGCGGGGGGCGGAGTGCAGAATCGTGACTAGATCCGGAAAGGTTGGACAACACAAGTGCTCCTGCAACTAGACTCTGTGAGTTCTGGTTGAGACAGCGTGCCTTTTTTGTGTTTACGAACACATTTGTTTCAACAAATCCGTCATTGTACATATCCCACATGTCTGCGTATACAAGCCTCGTACGTTCACCTAGGTCTGGAGAAACGAGCTCCATCTTTTCTTCTCCCCATGTGACAACCTTGTCTTATTGCAGAGAATACGGACAGCCATGTGTCCACATCTTCGCAGTCTTTAGAGATGATGGAGCTAGTGCTCTTGCTATGATAAGCAAGTACCACACTGTAGCGGATTTACAGAAAATAAACATGACGTTCTGTGGATTGATCGACCATACAAGCGGGAAGCCGGATGGTGCCACACTTGTTCCAGAGTACACTAAGAAGTCAGGCCGTCCAAAAAAAAAAAAAAAAAAAAACAACGTCGATCGCATGGTGAGCTCGATTCCAAGGGATTGTGCAAGTGTGGAAAGTGCTTGGAATACGGTCACAACTCTCGTACATGTGACATGCATGCACCTAGTAGGGCCATGTGGGAGGCGGTGATTACACCTGAAGGGCAGTTGCATGCCCAAACAGTTACATGCGTTGATGGGGCTGTCCGCACTGTCTCATGTAGGGCGCGCAATGGACGACATGGTAGGGAGGTGATATGTGAATCTTTGAGGCGTTAACGGTCCTCACACAATGATGAGGATGAGGGGTCCTCTGGTGAGGAAGGTGGGGACATCGCGGACGATGTTGGTGATGATGACGCGGTTGAAGATGATGGTGAGGGTGGTAACACGTCGTACGGTATATTCACTCGTTCACATGTGCGGTTTGAAACACGAACCGCTTCACAAACTGCTTCCACGACCCCCAACTGCAGCCAGGGACACAGTCAACAAGCTGATATTGAAGAGTCCCCTACTCTTGTGCAAGTGGGAACTCAACAGAGTTCGGCTGCTGTGGAAATTGGAGCAAGGGGTTCATGGGCGCTCTTCAGGCATGACCCCGTTGGGTCCGCTGTGATGCATGGAAGTGTTGAAGTACTAACTGCTGAATGAATGTGTAGAAATGAAACAAGGATAAGGATATATGTGGTGAACCCTAACTTAACCTTAGGTCAAGAATGTACACCTAGACTAACATATATAAGCTATAACAAATATAGCTTTACAGGAAGGGGGTCTAGGGAGTCAATCCCGATGGGAGGCTGAGGCGGCTGCATCGTCTAAATACTACGAGAGAAGTAGTTGACCCTGGCGGCATGGAGGAAAATGGTTTGGACCCGCAGGAGGTGGCACCATTGCTCCCGCGAGGGAGAGGAACTAGCAGACGGGGTAGGGGGGGCAGCAAAGCTGGAGGGCGGTCCGAGAGTGGCAATGGCAGGCGGGGACATGTGAGAGGTGTTCGGCAGTAAGGGAGAGGTGTAGGTGTGGAGCAACAAGGGGGTGGAGTGATTACAGGGGAGCCAGGAAGGGGGCAACAAGGGAGTAGAATGGCTATGGGGCAGCAACGGAGTGGGGAGACTTTGGGGCAGCAAGGGAGGGGAGTGAGTATGGGGCAGCCAGGGAGGGGAGTGGCCATGAGGCAACAAGGGACGGGATTGAGTATGGGGCACCAAGGGACGGGAGTGGGTATGGGGAAGAAAGGGAGTGGAATGGCTATGGGGCACCAAGGTACGGGAATGGGTATGGGGCAGCAAGGGATGGGAGTGGGTGTGGAGCAGCAAGGGAGTGGACTGCCTATGGGGCAACAATGGAGTGGTTGGGAATGGGACAGCCAGGGACTCTGTTGGGAAAGGCACGTCATGCTTCTTGGACGCTAGCGTGCAGAAGCTAGCATCCAGACGCATGACGCATAATATTGACTTTCCAAGACGCTAAAAAGACGCATGGCCGGGCAGGGTAAAAAAAACGTCAGGGCAGACTAAAAATCCACCATAGGGCAGGGGGAGGTGGGGGACATGGACATAGCACACAAAGGAGCAAAAACATTCCCCCACAAAATATTTTTCTTCATAATAAGTTCTCCCAAAGGTCACAAAATGTCAAGTGTTTAATTGATATATGTAGCAATTAGCATACTACTGCAATCACTCCATCTCGCCCTCCTTCTCGCCCTCCTACTCGCCCTCCACCATCTCGTCCTCATCCACGCACATATCGTCCTCATCCACCTCCACCTCCCCATCCTCCTCCAACTTGTACCCCTCGAGGAAGGGGGCCGGGGGGGTGGGAATGTTCCCCTCCACGACACCCCCCCCCCCCCTCCCCCCCCCACTCCTTCCCTCCCCACTGGGCCCTGCAACAGCCGTAGCCTTGTGGTGGTTATGCACAACATTCCAATTGTGCGCAACGAACACAAGGTCGCGCACCTTCTCCGACCCAAGCCCGTTCCTGCGCGCCGTGTGCACTCCATCCCAAACAGCCCAGTTCCGCTCACACGAGGCAGCAGAAACGGGCTGGGACAGCCGACGACGCGCAAGGTCAGCCAGGTCGGCATACTCCCAGCCGTGATATTGCCACCACGCCAGCATGTCCCCCTTCCCCTCCTTCAGCTCCTCTCGGCCCGTCATCGCCTCCTCCGTTCCGAAACTCCCCTCACATTTGATGTACGCTAAAACCCCTCCTGCAAACTCTTGGACGTGCCCTTCTTCGACCTCTTCCAGTACTTCTCGACGAAGGCCTTTGAGCGAGTCAGCCACGCCTTCATCACCCTGGTGCACTCGGGATCCCTAAGGAAAATCCCCTCCACCTGGTTGGTCGGGTTTATGAATCCGGCCAGCCACGTGGAGGGCACATGCCAAGCTGTTGTCCTACCGACTATGCAAGAACCCCTGCACCTCCTCCTTCTCCTCCTTCAGCCGACACTCATAACCCTCCAGCAAGTTCGTCATGTCCTACTTCAGCTGCAGCATGAGGTCGTACATCACTCCCATCATCCCCTTCGCTGTCGAATCCATCCTCCTCATCGCCAGGAACGGCACCTCCATGACCTTCACAAAAAACTCCACCCCGTTTCCACCACGCCCCATCCATCACCCACCCCTTGAACTGCTCCGCTATCGCCCTCTTTTCCCTCGCCACCCAATCCTTCAATACGCCGTGCACCACCATCTGCATCAGCACCGGGCGGAGCTCGCAGAGACGAGACACTGCGATGTACTGTGACCCCAAACGCATGCAGCGACTGCAGCGACTTCCCGCCGTGCAGCTCGGGACTCTGCAAGAAGGCGCGCGTCCACTGGTGGATGCGGAGGAATGTAATAAGGTCGTTCGCTCGCTCGACCACATCCTACGCCCACTCCATCTTGTCGATGTCCTCCATCCGCAAGTCCGGCGCGTGGGTGGCACAGGGGACGATCTCGATATGCGGCCACTCGAGCACCAACTGCTTGCAGGCGGAGGCGTAGTTGCTGCCGCCGCCCATGCACAGCGCGGCGATGTCGCCGGCCCAATCTTCTGGATAATCGGCCGCAGGATGCCAGCAATGTAAGCGCCACTCTTCACCTCCAGGCGACAGTCAACCGCCTCGGAGAACACAACACCACTATTGTTGATGCACATAATGTTAATCAGCGCGTGCCCGCTCGTGTTTGCGATCATGTCGCTGGCGATCGTCACGCCCGTCTCCTTCCACGTCTTGGTAGCAGGCGCCAACCCCTTCTCAATCCGCTTGCGGCACTCCTGAAGCCCGACTCCTCTGATGTAGTCCCATCTGGGGGGGACGTAGTTGTTCCCGGCAGCAGCAACGACTCGAAGCATGTTGAGGAAGAGCGGGTGCTCGCAATGATTCTCCGCCACGCACATCCCCGCAAATTAGAGGCAATTTGCCTCGTCAGCCGAACGCTTCGCCGAGAGTCCCTCTTCTCCATAAAAGTCCTCCTGTGTTTCGCCTTCGTCCCTGCGCTCTTGCCGCTCACTGCAGTAATCGCCGCATCCGTCGCCTTTTCTTCAGCTTGCGCGCCGAACCTTCCCCTCTTTCATGTCACAAATGCCGTTGAAAACGTGCTTCGGTACCTTAGGGCAAAGATCTATCTCGCGGCGAATGTTCGGGTCGTTCCATTCGGCGGGGTGACCGGTGCACTGGCTGCTACTAACGCTAAACGTCCTCTTGCAGTAGCGACACTTTGCTTGTTTCACCTTTTTCTTCGGAAAGTAATGCTTGTAAATAAAGTGATTAGGGGTTTCCGTAAACTCCGTCCCTTCCTCCGTAGATGCGTGTGCGGTACTACCCTCGGAGACGGCGACATCATGATCAGAATCGGTGGAGCTAGAAGAAGAAGGAGACATGGCGGAATTTGAACATAGTTGTTAAAGTTGGGATAAACCTCTAGGATTTTCAAAGAAGTTGAGAGAACGAGGAGCACAAATGAAGGCAAAGTGCTCCTAAATGCATGTGGTGGTGAGCCACAAAGGTTGGATGTTCTAGATTCAAAGCACTTTAGTGCGTTGGGGTTGCAAATTTGGTTGGGGGGGTTGTAGTTGCTAGAAAGGCATAGTGCCGGCGTAGCGGAAACGGTTTGTAGAGTAGAATAGCAAGGAAAACTTGCAACTGAATGGATTGATTATGGTCTCACATAGCAGAGTATTTATCTCTGCATCCACCCCTCCAGAGTGACCCCATCCACACCAATAATGGTGCACCAATAATGCCAACTCAAATATGTGAGTGGAAATAATTATACCACAATAAACTCCAAACTCCAATAATGCAGCTCCTACAATAATTGTACAATTATTGTACGGCCAGGAGTCTTATAAAGGGGATTACAAAAAATTGAACAACATATACAATTTCTTATGATTGTATTGTAATTTTACTGGGGTTCATTTCTTTGGAGGATGGGGGGATAAGGTGGTTTACCACATAAACTCGTTCCGTTGATTGCGGTCAAAAGTTGTAAACTCATTCCAGACGGTCAAAAGTTGTAAACTCGTTCCGTTGATTGCGGAAGGTTTTTCGTACGTGGCGATGATTGCGGAGCGGACCACGTTAGGGTTTCGTGTTTACGTTGACGCGTCGGACAATCGTTCCGGTTGTCTTGTAGCCAGGTGTGCAACCCCTTTCGTGCTCCTGTTCCTCGTAACTACAGTTCTCCAGACTCGCTTCCCAGCTCTCCCTTCGGCCGTGAAACAGCAGCAGCGACTGCGCGACTTGTGCCCTCGTCGCGCGACTGCCTCTCCTGCTGATGCCCACGACTGCAACGACGGACGCACCCCTACTAGCGAGCTGCAGTACATGTGGTGCACGTGCTACACCATCTACGACAGAGCTTCAGCAACGGACGCGTTTTCAGCAAATGGTGATGCGCGACTGCAGCACCTGACGCGTCTGCTTCACCTGGCGCTCCCCTGCTTCTCCTGGCACGCTCACCCTACCATGATGAGCGGCGGTTAACATCTGCTTTAGCGGCGACGGCTTAACGCACATCTGCAGTGGCAGCTGGCGACGGCAGCATAAGCTGCTAGCACTCATCCGCAGCAGCGGCGGTTGGCTTCATGCACGACTACAGCTACTGGTGGCGCACGGCTGCAGCATGCGCGCGACTGCAGCATGGAGTGTGACTTCTGCGTGACTGTGGGGATTGTGCGCGCATGCGTGCACCACCTGGCCGCGGCCACTGTCAAACATTATATGTTTATATTGTGTAGGCTATAGTGGGTTTAGCCTTAGGGGGTACAGCTTTGTTAGGGTTTCCTACTTGTATCCCCCTCCTACCTAGTTTCATGCATTCTCGTTCTATTCTAGATTCTAATATGGTATCACGAGCCTAGGTTGCTACCTAGGACCGCTTTCTACTATGGGCCCACTATTCCGCTAGAAGCGCCCTCGTGCGCCCTACCTTACGTGCGCCCTCGTGCGCCTTTCTCTGCTAGTGCGCCTTCGTGCGCCCTCGTGCGCCCTCGTGCGCCTTTCTCTGCTAGTGCGCCTTCGTGCGCCTTCGTGCGCCCTCGTGCGCCCTCGTGCGCCCTCGTGCGCCCTCGAGCGCCCTCGTGCGCCCTCGAGCCTTTCTCTGCTAGTGCGCCTTCGTGCGCCTTCGTGCGCCCTCGTGCGCCCTCGTGCGCCCTCGTGCGCCTTCGTGCGCCCTCGTGCGCCCTCGTGCGCCCTCGTGCGCCCTCGAGCGCCCTCGTGCGCCCTCGAGCCGCCCCTGCAGGTCCGTCAGGCCCCCAAGCCGCCTCTGCAGACCCGTCAGGCCCCCCCCGAGCCGCCTCTGCAGGCCCATCAGGCCCGAGAGCCGCCCCTGCAGACTCGTCAGGCCCGCGCGAAGCCTCTGCCCGACCGCGCGCCGCCCCTGCAGGCTCTCGCCGCCCGCCGCGTTGCCCTGCCCGCGGCGTCGCCGCCTGCCCGCGGCGTCGTCACCTGCCCGCGACGTAGCCCCTGCCCGCGGCGTCGTCGCCTACCCGCGGCGTCGTCGCCTGCCTGCAGCGTCGTCGCCTGCCCGCGACGTAGCCCCTGCCCGAGACGTCGTCGCCTACCCGCGGCGTCGTCGCCTGCCCGCGGCGTCGTCGCCTGCCCGCGGCGTCGTCACCTGCTCGCCGCGTCGCCCTGCCCGCGGCGTCGCCACCTGCTCGCGGCGTCGCCCTGCTCGCGGCGTCGTCACCTGCTCGCCGCGTCGCCTTGCTCGCGGCGTCGTCACCTGCTCGCCGCGTCGCCCTGCCCGCGGCGTCGTCACCTGCCCGCCGCGTCGCCCTGCCCGCGGCGTCGCCACCTGCCCGCCGCGTCGCCCTGCTCGCCGCGTCGCCCTGACCTAATCCGCGCCTGGCCTCTGGAGCAGCCGCCCCTGCAGCAGCCGCCCCTGGCACCTGGAGCAGCTGCCGTCGCGGCCCGGCCTCGCCCTGCAGCAGCTGCCGCGGAGCTCCCTGCTGCGGCCCGGCCCCGCCCTGCAGTTGTAGCGGCCCCGCTGTCGCCACCGTCTTGCGCCTGCCGCGCCGACCACTGGTGAGCATTGCCCTGCCAGCACTGCTACCGCTGCTACTGCTGCTACTGCCTTTTCTACTCCCACTGCTACTGCTCCTGCTGTTACTACTGTTACTGCCGCTACTGCTGCTACTGCTGCTCCTGGCGTGGCCAAATGCAGCTCCAGGGCCGTGCGCGTGAGTCCCTCACGCCCCAGCAGCTTCGTGAGTGGTACGCTAGTTGGGGCTGTCGGGGTGGCCGTAGTGGTAGTCGCTCTGGAGTGGGTCGGTCGGGAGCTTCTGGTAGTGGACAGGTGCAGCTGCCGTGTCCTCTTTCGCCCCAGCAGCTTCGTGCGTGGTACGCTAGTTGGGGCTGTCGGGGTGGCCGTAGTAGTAGTCGCTCTGGAGTGGGTCGGTTGGGAGCTTCTGGTAGTGGACAGGTGCAGCTGCCGTGTCCTCTCTCGCCCCAGCAGCTTCGTGAGTGGTACGCCAGTTGGGGCTGTCGGGGTGGCCGTAGTGGCAGTCGCTCTGGAGTGCGTCGTTCGGGAGCTTCTGGTAGTGGACAGGTGCAGCTGCCGTGTCCTGTGAGTGAGGCTGCCGCTCTAGGTGCTAGTGCGTCTGTTGCCCTAGGTGCTGGTGAGGCTACCACTCCCGGTACTCGCGTGTCTGCTACCCCAGGTGCTGGTGAGGCTGCTGCTCTAGGTGCTCGTGAGTCTGCGCCCCCTGGTACTGAGTCGACTGAGGCACTGCACACCTTCACTCTGGACTCAGGTGCTTCTCGCTGTTTCTTTCGTGACTGCACTGCCCTTGAGCCGCTTGCTCGGCCAGTTGCTGTCTCCCTCGCTGACCCCTCTGGGGGTCCGGTCATTGCGACCTCCTCCACTGTCCTTCCTTGTCCTGCGGTCCCGTCGGGCACACTGTCAGGTCTCCACCTCCCCTCGTTCTCTACGAACTTGGTGGCGGGTTGTGCGCTCCAGGACGGAGGTGTTCACCAGTTCACCCCTGCCTACGAGCGCGTGACACACTGCACGTGTGCTCGGACGGGCCGTCACCTGGCTACCTTCACTCGGCAGCCGGGGTCGGACCTGTACACACTGACCACTGAGTCCCCTCAGGTAGCTGCGTCTGCGTCTGCGTCAGGTCAGCTGTCGGCCCCCTGCTCGTGTCGCTCTCTGGCGCACGAGACCGTCCTCTGGCACCACCGACTTGGTCACCCGTCCGTGCAGCGCCTTCGTGCCATGCACAAACGGTACCTTGTCTCTGGTCTTCCCAGGGTTCTCCCTCCCCTCCCACCCTCGCCTGCTCCTCCATGTCTTCCCTGTGTCGAGGGGCGGCAGCGCGCCGCTCCTCACTCCTCCTCGTTTCCCCCGACGACTGCTCCCTTGCAGACGCTCCACATGGACGTGTGGGGCCCAGCCCGCGTCCGTGGTCAGGGTCAGGAGAGGTACTTCCTGATAGTTGTTGACGACTACTCGCGCTACACCACGGTCTTCCCCTTGCGCACCAAGGGTTCGGTCCCTGATGTTTTGATCCCTTGGATCAGCGCTTCTCGTCTCCAGCTCAGCGAGCGTTTCCACTCGGACTTTCCTGTCCTGCGCTTGCACTCTGACAGAGGTGGTGAGTTCTCCTCCGACCTCTTGGCAGCCTACTGTGCGGAGCACGGCATCCGCCAGTCGTTCACGCTTCCGGCCTCTCCACAACAGAATGGGGTTGCTGAGCGCCGCATTGGCTTGGTCATGGAGGTCGCTCGTACCTCCTTGATCCATGCGGCTGCCCCCCACTTTCTGTGGCCGTTTGCAGTCCGATACGCCGCGCATCAGCTCAACCTCTGGCCCCGTGTCTCCGTTCCGGAGACTTCGCCGACACTGCGTTGGACAGGAGAGGTTGGCGATGCGTCACGCTTTCGGGTC